TGGTTCCTACCCCTCCTCCTGGGCCTGGGTCACACTCCAACTTCTCCAAGTTACCCTTCACTCCAAGGAGCCGACTCTCCATCTCCCCCACCTTCTTCCCCTGCCATTTCTCCCCTCCTACCCACATCCTCCCGGCCCTCCCCTTGCGAAATCCCGAAAGCTGCTGCTCCTGCACTACCGTGTTCAAACGGGACCGCATCAGAACACTCAGGGAGTCCCGTCTGGGGCTCCACACCACTTTACATTTCTGTTTCGGTCTGTCTGTCTCAGCGCCCCGTTCAGGGCGGAACCGGGTCTCGGGTCCGGGAGGACACCTGGCCGTCCAGCTGACAAGGTAGTCCCAGGGGCAACCAGGCTGCAGTGAATAAGAAACCTTCCCAATGCCCCCAGCCCCCAGCCCTCCTGAGTCCCCAGGCTCCCTGGACGGGAGGGCAGGGGTCATGGCAAGCCTCGAAGCAGTGAGTAAACAACCTCTGGGGTGCTGGGCGGGGTACCTGAGACCCTGCCCTGGGGCTTCGCACCCCACCCCCACGTGGCCCGGAATAAAGAGATGCCGGGGACTCACCCCATCTCTGAGCTGCTGCAGGGAAGCGGATGCCTGCTCCTGGAAGTGGACACACACACGCCCCTCTCCAGCTTGGGACTGCCCGGTGAGCACCTCCCTGGTCAGGACGGTTCAGCTCCCTCCTCCCTCTGCCCTCCTCCTCCCAATGAGCTCATCTGTCTGGGGCTCCCCACCCCCTTTGCCCGAAAGGATGTTTGGATAGAACCTGGAAGAAAACAGAAAAAGAGGATGATGGGTGGCATGGAGGCGGTGGCTGCCTTGCCTGCCTGTGCCCAGAGCCCTTAGAAAGTGGAGGTGGGTGAGGAGGGTTCAGGAAGAGCTGATCTTTACTCCAACTCCACAAGGCGAGGTGGGCTTGGGGAGCAGGGGCACGGTGGCCAGGACGGGCTCCTGGCCGGCCCGCTAAACCACGTGCCTGCGGGCTGGTGTGGTGCGTGCTGTCCTGTTAACCCCCTCGGCACCTGCCAAACTTCAGTGGGTGCCGAGCCAGCGGCTGGGGGCGGCTGAGCGGGCACTGGGAGCTGGAGGGAACGAGTGGCGGGGAGGGATGGGCAGGGAACAGACCCAGGCGCGCTAGGAAGGAGGCTCCCAAAAGTTTGTGCGGATGGCATGCACCCAGCCCCAACCCGAGAGGCGGAAAGGTTTGAGGGCATTTAACTTTAAATTAATGCAGGCAGAGGATCTCGGCGCCTGCAGTTCCGCCATCCTGAGGTTGGGGCTCTGTTTATAAGCGAGGGGTCGGGGGGCGGCTCAGGGAAGGCGGTGGGAGAAGCAGCCTCTGGGGGTAGATCCCAGGCTGGTGGGAGAGGAGCTGTGAGGTGGGAGGGCGGGGGCTCCCCGCAGAGCCCCGTGGTCTCTGAGTCTCCGAGTCTACACCACTGCCAGTGAGCTCAGTTATCTGCAAGGCCAGGCCAGGGCCAGGGCTAGGAGCCGCTTGCGGGGGGAGGGGGGGGCTGTGGGGGAGGAGGGAG